TTTTGCACACGCTAGGCCCTTGTTCTTGCTATTTTGCACACGCTAGGCCCTTGTTCTTTTTATTTTGCACACGCTAGGCCCTTGTTCTTGCTATTTTGCACATGCTAGACCCTTGTTCTTTTTATTTTGCACACGCTAGGGCCCTTGTTCTTTTAATTTGCACACGCTAGGCCCTTGTTCTTGCTATTTTGCACACGCTATGCCCTTGTTCTTTTTATTTTGCACACGCTAGGCCCTTGTTCTTGCAATTTTGCACACGCTAGGCCCTTGTTCTTTTTATTTTGCACACGCTAGGCCCTTGTTCTTGCTATTTCGCGAACGCTAGGCCCTTGTTCTTGATTTTTTTGCACACGCTAGGCCCTTGCTCTTGCTATTTTGCACTCGCTAGGCCCTTGTTCTTGCAATTTTGCACACGCTAGGCCCTTGTTCTTGCTATTTTGCACACGCTAGGCCCTTGTTCTTGCAATTTTGCACAGTTTAGGCCCTTGTTTTTTTATTTTGCACACGCTAGGCCCTTGCTCTTTTATTTTGCACACGCTATGCCCTTGTTTTTTTATTTTGCACACGCTAGGCCCTTGTTCTTGCAATTTTGCACATGCTAGACCCTTGTTCTTTTTATTTTGCACACGCTAGGCCCTTGTTCTTGCTATTTCGCGAACGCTAGGCCCTTGTTCTTGATTTTTTGCACACGCTAGGCCCTTGCTCTTGCTATTTTGCACTCGCTAGGCCCTTGTTCTTGCAATTTTGCACACGCTAGGCCCTTGTTCTTGCAATTTTGCACACGCTAGGCCCTTGTTCTTTTTATTTTGCACACGCTAGGCCCTTGTTCTTTTATTTTGCACACGCTAGGCCCTTGTTCTTGCTATCTTGCATACGCTATGCCCTTGTTCTTTTTATTTTGCACACGCTAGGCCCTTCTTCTTGCAATTTTGCACATGCTAGACCCTTGTTCTTTTTTTTTTGCACATGCTAGGCCCTTGCTCTTGCTATTTCGCGAACGCTAGGCTCTTGTTCTTGATTTTTTGCACACGCTAGGCCCTTGCTCTTGCAATTTTGCACTCGCTAGGCCCTTGTTCTTGCAATTTTGCACACGGTAGGCCCTTGTTCTTGCAATTTTGCACACGCTAGGCCCTTGTTCTTTTTATTTAGCACACGTTAGGCCCTTGTTCTTTTTATTTTGCACACGCTATGCCCTTGTTCTTTTTATTTTGCGCTCGCTAGGCCCTTGTTCTTGCAATTTTGCACATGCTAGACCCTTGTTCCTTTTATTTTGCACACGCTAGGCCCTTTTTCTTGCTATTTCGCGAACACAAGGCCCTTGTTCTTGTTTTTTTGCACACGCTAGGCCCTTGCTCTTGCTATTTTGCACTCGCTAGGCCCTTGTTCTTGCAATTTTTCACACGCTAGGCCCTTGTTCTTGCAATTTTGCACACGCTATGCCCTTGTTCTTTTTATTTTGCACACGCTAGGCCCTTGTTCTTATATTTTGCACATGCTAGGCCCTTGTTCTTGCTATTTTGCACACGCTATGCCCCTTGTTCTTTTATTTTGCACACGCTAGGCCCTTGTTCTTTTATTTTGCACACGCTAGGCCCTTGTTCTTGCTATTTTGCACACGCTATGCCCTTGTTCTTTTTATTTTGCACACGCTAGGCCCTTGTTCTTGCAATTTTGCACATGCTAGACCCTTGTTCTTTTTATTTTGCACATGCTAGGCCCTTGTTCTTGCAATTTCGCGAACGCTAGGCCCTTGTTCTTGATTTTTGCACACGCTAGGCCCTTGCTCTTGCTATTTTGCACTCGATAGGCCCTTGTTCTTGCAATTTTGCACACGCTAGGCCCTTGTTCTTGCAATTTTGCACACGCTAGGCCCTTGTTCTTTTATTTTGCACACGCTAGGCCCTTGTTCTTTTTATTTTGCACACGCTATGCCCTTGTTCTTTTATTTTGCACACGCTATGCCCTTGTTCTTGCAATTTTGCACATGCTAGACCCTTGTTCTTTTTATTTTGCACACGCTAGGCCCTTGTTCTTGCTATTTCGCGAACGCTAGGCCCTTGTTCTTGATTTTTTGCACACGCTAGGCCCTTGCTCTTGCTATTTTGCACTCGCTAGGCCCTTGTTCTTGCAATTTTGCACACACTAGGCCCTTGTTCTTGCAATATTGCACACGCTAGGCCCTTGTTCTTTTTATTTTGCACACGCTATGCCCTTGTTCTTTTTATTTTGCACACGCTATGCCCTTGTTCTTTTTATTTTGCACACGCTATGCCCTTGTTCTTTTTATTTTGCACACGCTAGGCCCTTGTTCTTGCAATTTTGCACATGCTAGACCCTTGTTCTTTTTATTTTGCACACGCTAGGCCCTTGTTCTTGCTATTTCGCGAACACTAGGCCCTTGTTCTTGAATTTTTGCACACGCTAGGCCCTTGCTCTTGCTATTTTGCACTCGATAGGCCCTTGTTCTTGCAATTTTGCACATGCTAGGCCCTTGTTCTTGCAAGTTTGCACACGCTAGGCCCTTGTTCTTTTTATTTTGCACACGCTAGGCCCTTGTTCTTTTTATTTTGCACACGCTATGCCCTTGTTCTTTTTATTTTGCACACGCTATGCCCTTGTTCTTTTTTTTTTGCACATGCTAGGCCCTTGTTCTTGCAATTTTGCACATGCTAGACCCTTGTTCTTTTTATTTCGCACACGCTAGGCCCTTGTTCTTGCTATTTCGGGAACGCTAGGCCCTTGTTCTTGATTTTTTGCACACACAAGGCCCTTGCTCTTGCTATTTTGCACTCGCTAGGCCCTTGTTCTTGCAATTTTGCACACGTTAGGCCCTTGTTCTTGCAATTTTGCACACGCTAGGCCCTTGTTCTTTTTATTTTGCACATGCTAGGCCCTTGTTCTTTTTATTTTGCACACGCTAGGCCCTTGTTCTTGCTATTTTGCACCCGCTATGCCCTCGCTCTTTTTATTTTGCACACGCTAGGCCATTGCTCTTGCTATTTTGCACATGCTAGACCCTTGTTGTTTTTATTTTGCACACGCTAGGCCCTTGTTCTTTTTAATTTGCACACGCTAGGCCCTTGTTCTTGCTATTTTGCACACGCTATGCCCTTGTTGTTTTTGTTTTGCACACGCTAGGCCCTTGCTCTTGCTATTTTGCACACGCTATGCCCTTGTTCTTTTTATTTCGCACACGCTAGGCCCTTGCTCTTGCTATTTCGCGAACGCTATGCCCTTGTTCTTGATTTTTGTGCACGCTAGGCCCTTGCTCTTCCTGTTTGCACTCGCCAGGCCCTTGTTCTTGCAATTTTGCACACGCCTGGTCCTTGCTTTTACTATTTTGCACTCGCTAGGCCCTTGTTCTTGCAATTTTGCACACATTAGGCCCTTGTTTTTTCAATTTTGCACACGCTAGGCCCTTGCTCTTTTTATTTTGCACACGCTAGGCCCTTGTTCTTTTTATTTTGCACACGCTAGGCCCTTGTTCTTGCTATTTTGCACACGCTATTGTGAGAATAAACGAACAGGGATGAAAATGACTAAGGAAAGATGGGTACAAATACAACCCTAGAAACCCTGTACCCCATATGTGCTACCCCCACTATAGCCTACAACAACTATGTCATATAAATCTGACACACCCCCATAGGCAAAGTGGGGGAGAACAAGGGGTCACAAGACCAGTCAAGCAAAGCAAAGCAAGCTCAGGGTGGATCACAAAGTCACCACACAGTCCGAGCACAAGAGTAGGGCCAGAGGCCAGTTCACATGCAGGAGTACAGACATATATATAAAACTAGATAAACAAGAGCAGGCATATATATATGTCTCAGTACAAGTGAAGTCAAGAGGAGAGCAAGTGAGGCAAGACAGGCACAAGACCCAGCTGGGTGCAAAAGCGCCGATGGTCACAAGGCGCGAGTGCCTTGGTGAACACATCAGCAGTGTTGGCCTCAGAGGCCACGTACGCAAGTCGCAACTGACCCACGCTGCTGCAGCTCACAAGCAAGGAAGTAGCGGAGAGCAATGTGCTTCGTTCTGTGCTCCAAGCGCTGCTCTCGACACAAGGCCAGCATAGCCTTGTTGTCTACGTACAGCACTGGAGGAGAACGAGGCGGCTCTCCAAGGTCAGTCAGCAGGTAGGTGAGCCAGCGAAGCTCCTGTGCAGCCATGGCCCCGGCGTAGATCTCAGCCTCACAACTGGAGCCGAGAACCGAAGACGAGCGAGTAGACCGCCACGAGACAGAGCCGGAACCAAGGCTGAAGGTGTAACCCTGTGACGACCGCTGCGTAGCCTGGTCGTCAGCCCAAGAAGCGTCCGCGTGGCCGGTAAGGACCACTGGACTCCGCCCTCCAAGCACTAGCCCCATGCCCGACGTGCTGCACAGGTAGCGCAATACCCTCTTCGCTGCAGCCATGTGCTCCGGTCTGTGTCTCCCAGGAGCAACATAGCGTGCAAGAATGCTCAGAGGGTATGCAAGGTCAGGTCGTGTGCAGGTCATCAGGTACATGAGGCAGCCAACAAGCTCTGCATACGGACCACTCGACTCTACGGACTCATCCGAAGGCAGAGCTGAGAGTGAGTGGCGAGTAGGTAGAGGAGTGGCCTGAGGCGAGGAGTACGTGAAGCCGAAGCGCTGAAGGACCTGCTGCACCATGTGTGACTGAGTCAAGGTAATGGTGCGGCGTGCTCTGTCCCGAGTGATCTGCAAGCCAAGGTAGCTGCGCAGTTCACCCAGGTCTGTGCACGTGTGTCTCTTCAGCAGCTCGGACTTCACGTAGGCGAGTCCAGCAGTGTCCGCTGTGGCAAAGACCAGGTCGTCGACGTACACGAGGATGTAGAACGGCGGCAGCGAGGTGTCGGTGCGCAGAAACAGCGACGGGTCAGCAGTAGAAGGAGCAAACCCAAGAGCCGCAAGCGTAGTCCTCAGTGTGTCGTGCCACTCACGCGGTGCCTGGCGGAGACCGTAGACTGGCCGTCTGAGGCTCCACTGGGTGCCAGGAGGGAAAGTCCCAGTGAAGCCAGGTGGACGGCGCAGCCAGATCTCCTCGTGCAGGCTACCCTGCAGGAACGCAGTGCTGAAGTCAAGAGAGTGAAGCTCGTAGTCGCGCTGAGCGGCTATGTGCAGCAGCACCCGAAGAGTGGTCATCTTCGGGGTGGGAGAGAAGGTCTGAAAGTAGTCAACTCCCTGCCGCTGACTGAAGCCACGAGCAACGTACCGCGCCTTGAAGACAGGTGGAGAGCCCGGCGGCCGCTTCACCCTGAAGATCCACATGCCACTGACGATGTTCGCCCCAGGAGGGGGAACTGCGTCAACATAGGTGCCTGTGGACTTCCAGGAAGCCATCTCTGCATCCATAGCTGCCTGCCACTGAGAGGAGTAGGGACCCTCTACGGCCTCCGCGTAAGAACGCGGAGTCGGGATGTCTAATGCATCCGGGTCTCCCTCAGGGGCAAGTAGTACAGACGCGAGATGAGGTGAAGCAGCCGCTAGACACTGTAACTCCTCCTGTCTGTCCTCTAGGACGTCCGTGCCAAGAGCACACTCACCCCCGACGGACGGAGGACAGACAGACGCAGACTCAGCAACAAGACCAGCAGCGTAGTCGAGACGACAGCGAGCAGCAAAGTCAACGAGCTCAGCGACTAGAGCAGACGCAGCAGTGGACTCAAAAGAGGGGTCAGTGACGACAGTAGCAAGCAGACGCGTGACAGTAGGACTGGCAGCGCGAAGAGAGTCTGACTCAGGGTCGGCAAGCGCAGGAAAGAGAGGACTCAGGAGGAGAAGGCAGAGGGGCACGCAGAGGAGCAGTGGACGGACGCAGAGACATCCGGTGCGTGCCAGGGACAGGAGGAGGACGCTGACGCGAACCGCGACCACTAGCGCGAGCAGCACGAACAGGCGACGCGGGACGAGACGCAGGCTCACGACGCTCAGCAAGACCTCCAGTAGGACCAGTGTAAGGAGAGGGAGCAGGCAGAGGAGAGGAAGGCTCCAACAGTGACTGCGACTGGACAGGCTGTGGACACTCTACCGAAGGAGAAAGACCAAGAACCTGCTGTAGGAGCGGAACGAAGTACGGCCGAGGCCGCGCGGCAGCTCCAGACTCAGCAGGGACTGCACCAGCACCCTCAGCGACAGCACCAGCGCCACCCACACCTCCAGCGGCAGGACCAACAGCAGTAGGCTCAGCACCAACGCCCTCAGCACCTCCAGCTGCAGGAGGACCCTCAGGTCCAGCAGCTCCGGGACCGGCAGCACCCGCACCCTCGACGGTCGAAGAAGCTCCAGCTCCAGCTCCAGCAGCACCTCCAGACTCAGCAGCACGCCTCCAGCGGCGAGCGTACCACTCGCGCAGCTCCTGTGGAGAGAGGGGCTCCCGGCGAGACGCAGCAGCAGGAGAAACCCCAGGCTCAGCAGCTCCAGACGCAAGCAGGGACAGCACCAGCACCCTCAACAGACAGCACCAGCGCCACCGACACCTCCAGCGGCAGGACCAACAGCACTAGGCTCAGCACCAACGCCCTCAGCACCTCCAGCTCCAGGAGGACCCGCAGGTCCAGCAGCTCCAGGACCGGCAGCACCCGCACCCTCGACGGTCGAAGAAGCTCCAGCTCCAGCTCCAGCAGCACCTCCAGACTCAGCAGCACGCCTGCAGCGGCGAGCGTACCACTCGCGCAGCTCCTGTGGAGAGAGGGGCTCCCGGCGAGACGCAGCAGCAGGAGAAACCCCAGGTTCAGCAGCTCCAGACGCAGCACCCCCAGGCTCAGCAGCTCCCAGCTCAGCACCCCCAGGCTCAGCAGCTCCCGACCCAGCACCCCCAGACCCAGTACCTCCAGGCACAGCACCCCCCGGCTCAGCACCCCCAGGCTCCGCACCCACCGCAGTAGCACCCTCAGGCCCAGCACCCCCAGCAGTAGCACCCCCAGGCTCAGCACCCCCGCGCACAGTACCCCCAGAGTCAGCACCCCCAGGCTCAGCACCCGCAGCAGCACCAGAGTCACCAGTAACCTCGACCGGGTCAACGGCGTCTACCTGGGACACACCTGAGGGGGCAGGAACCTGAGGGGGGAGGGGGTCTACCGGGGGGGGAACCGGCACAAGGAAGTCCGGGGGAGGGGGGAGGGAAGGAGTGCGGTAGGGGAAGAGACGGTAGAAGGGGACTGACTCATCGAACGTGACGTCCTGGGAGGACAGAACACGACGAGAGGAGGGGTGGTAAAACTGCCACCCTGGGGCGTCAGTGGGGAAGCCAAGGAAGACACAGGGAGCAGCACGAGGGGACAGCTTGTCCGCAGACAAGTCGCGGACAAACGCCCGAGATCCCCAGACACGGAACACAGACGCATCGCCAACCTTCCCCGTCCACAGCAAGACTGGGGACATCGCAGGCCGAGAGACCCGGGGGTGAAGGTTGAGCTGATGCGCCGCGTACCTCACCGCAAACGGCCACAGAAAATGGGGGGCAGCCGCATGCATCATGGACGTACGAGCGACATCCATGACCATGCCAATGCGGCGCTCAGCAATCCCATTTTGCTGTGGTGAGTCCGGAAGCGTGAAGGTCTGGCGGATCCCCCGTGCACGACAGTAGTCTCGCAGAAGGCGGGAAGAGAACTCTCCGCCTCTGTCAGAGTGCAGACGCAGAACAGGAAAGTCCGAGCCGAAGCTCTTCCTGAGCTGGAGACGAGCCTCGCGGATCCAGTCGATCAGCACCACAGTGACCTCACCCTTGCTGCGCAAGGGGAAGACTGTGGTGTAACGCGAGTAGTCGTCAACCACCAACAGGAAGTAGCGCTCGTAACCCTGCCCACGGACGGGGGCTGGGCCCCACACATCCATGTGAAGCGTCTGCAGGGGAGCCTCTGTCGGGGGGAAGTGGGAGGAGTGAGGAGTAGCCCGGAGGCGACCCTCGACACAGGGACACAGGAAGGTCCTGGCCCGGAGGGGAGAGGAGGGAGAGACTGGGGAAGACCAGAGACAAGGACACGGGAAGCCATGCTCCGAAGACGGGGCAAGGAGGGGTGGCCAAGACGGTGGTGCCACAGGGAGAGTCTCGTGAGACAGGAGGCGACAAGTACAGGGGGCAGACTCAGGACCAGACCTGGACGCAGCAGCAAACACCTGACCCGACGCTGCTACCTGACCGGACGCGGGGACAGGAGGAGACTCAGTGGTCAGGGTGTAGAGGCTCGACCCCGGCCGACGCGAGAACGTGGCCAGGTGCCGGCCTGTGCGTGCGTCCGTGCAGTGGGTCACCCGCTGACTCGCAGGAGTGAACTGGTGAACCCCCGCATCCTGTAGGTCTGCACCACTCACCAAGTTCGTCGAGAACGAGGGGAGGTACAGGCCAGACAGGGTGCCCGAGGGGGCAGCCGGACACGGGAGGACAGTGGAGAAGTGAGCGAGGACAGGACCCCCAGAGGGGTCAGCCAGGGAGACTGCAACCGGCCGACCAAGCGGCGTGAGTGTGGTGCGGTCCCGAAAGAAGGAGCGAGAAGCCCCAGAGTCAAGTGTAAAGGTGAGGGAGGCCGAAGCCAACGCGGTACCTGAGAGCGCAGCCTCACCCGCACCTGAGGAAGCAGACTCACTAGCACCTAGAGCAGCAGGCCGTACCTGTACCTGGAGCAGGAGACTCACTAGCACCCAGAGCAGCAGCCTCACCAGTAGCTAGAGCAGCAGGTCCTATACCTGGGTCAGGCGGGACGCACAGGTGACCGGCACGGTCAGTACTAGTAGGCAATGCATACATGGCAGTGAGAATAGCATCATAGTCAAGAGCATATATATCTACCCTCTGCCTAAGCAACTCCACCCAGTCGGGAAGCTCAGCCTCGTCGCCAAACACGGTACGCCAGGCGTCGCTCAGACGGGCGAAGCAGCGGGACGGTGTATGACTACGTGTCCCACAAGGCTGACCAGTCCGAGTACCAGTGCGAATCACGTACGAGCAGCGAACAGCACTGAGAGACCCTCCACTCTGAGCGTACCACTCACGAAGCTGGCGAGGCGTGAGAGACACGGGAGAGGGTCGCGGGAGCTGCATCTGGCCGCCACCACGAGTAGAAGCAGCAGGAGTGGTAGTAGGAGTAGCGTCGCCACCCCTACAGCCCCAACCAGCGTACCACTCACGCAGCTGCTGGGGCGTGAGGGACTCACGCCGGCGTCGCTGGGGCTGCATTTGGCTCCGCAAGTAGAAGCAGGAGCAGGACTAGCAGCAGGGAGGCAGGCAGCCAGGCAAGCCAAAGGCAGGCAGGCAGGCAAGCAGGCGACGCGCAGTGTGCTAGCAGGGCAAGAGCTCACCAGTGGTGGGAAGAGTAGGCTCGGCGACTCAGCGGCTCGGCAGCTCGGCGGCTCGGCGGCTCGGGCGACTCGGGCGGCTCGGCGGCAAGGCGGCTCAGCAGCAACTGCAGCTCAGCAGCTCGGGGACTCGGCGGCTCGGCGGCAGGGCGGCTCGGCAGCAACTGCAGCTCAGCAGCTAAGCGACCCGGCGGCTCGGCTGTGGGGCGGCTCGGCTGCTGCAGGTGAGCGGCTCGGCTGCTGCAGTGGGAGATGAAGGAGGAGGAGAAGCAGGGGAGGCCACACACCGCAAGCGGCCCCCTCAGGTCGCCTCGACAGGCGACGGGAAAAGGGGGGGTGGGTGGTGGGGGGCCGGTAGGTGCAGCGGCGGGGCCAGCAGATGCAGTTGCGGGGCCGGTAGAAGGGGGGACGGCAGGAGCCGTCAGGAGGAGACCGGGCCGCGACGGGGGCAGGCGGCGGGGCCGCGTAAGGGCCTGGGCGGGGCCGCGTAGAAGCCGGGGCGGGGCCGCGTGAGAGCAGGCGGCGGGGCCGCGAAGGAGCCGGGGCGGGGCCGCGTGAGAGCAGGCGGCGGAGCCGCGTAAGGGCCTGGGCGGGGCCACGACGAAGCCGTCGGCGGGGCCGCGTGAAAGCCGGGGCGGGGCCGCGTAGAAGCCGGGGCGGGGCCGCGCGAGAGCAGGCGGCGGGGCCGCGAAGGAGCCGGGGCGGGGCCGCGTGAGAGCAGGCGGCCGAGCCGCGACAGAGAGGGCGGCGGGGCCGCGTCAGTGAAGGCGGCGGGGCCGCAGGGAAATGGCGACCCGAGGGGTCGCTAAAAAAAAGGATCGCGCCTCGGGGGGGGGCGCTTCGGTGGGCCCAAAAAAAAAACCGGTCCGTAGAAGGACCCGCTCTATACCATGTGAGAATAAACGAACAGGATGAAAATGACTAAGGAAAGATGGGTACAAATACAACCCTAGAAACCCTGTACCCCATATGTGCTACCCCCACTATAGCCTACAACAACTATGTCATATAAATCTGACAGCTATGCCCTTATCCTTTTTATTTTGCACACG